GGCTGCTAGTTTTTAATATAATTTGTTGCAACCCAATTAAAAAAGAAAACTAAAATACTTATACTCGTAGGATGTGGTAGGTTAATAGAGTCACACATTTGTACTTCACGGATTTACTAGATAACAACACAAAACATAAATTGAACGTAACATTTGCATGCGTCTGATAAGAACAACTTTATTGACATTCGCCTTTACTGCCGCAATGACTCATTGCGCTGTTTTTGATAAGTACCAAAATATAGTCATGATGATTCGATATTGATAAAAGATTGTCTGAAGATATCGATAAACTATTGCAGACATCACCAAAGGCATCAAGTTGATTGATCTGAAATAACTAATCATTATAGGACTGCATTAGTTCTCATTTGAAACTCTTGAGTTTGTTCCGGCGTTTCTTCTCAGCACTTGCCATTGTATTATGTTTGTCTCGAAGCGCTGGTAGGGCCCAAAAGATAAGGAGACATGTAAAGTAGCCCCATAAGGGCTACCTTTTCTTTTTTATTATTTACTATATTTTGACGTTCATAAGTGCCTCTTGTGGTCTAAACTGAATAAAATTTTTGATTTTTATTTTTTTTTATTTTGAAAGATGCAGCTCGGAATTCTCATTTGTGGGAAGCATAAATCGATAGGTCGATATTTGTTTTGTCTACAACACAGATTTTGTAGAAATTCTTAGGAAGCAAAATCTTTGCCAATGTTGTAGTCATTTTATTGTCGGCCTTCGCGATGGAAAGTTTACACGTCGTACGGAAGTTCGTCTAATCTTGGCTGAATTATAATAAGTACCTAACCAAACCAGATAGACGCAATGTGATAGTGACATTATTTTATTATGCTATCATAGCGTACAGTATCTTGCTTTTTAAATTATATTTTCTACGGTTGGGTATGCAATAGGGGTCGCAATACCGAATCATTTCAGCAAAACCGGTATTTTCGGTATTGGCTCTAGACAAATACCGATAATCCGGTATTTTCGATATTTTCGAGATTAAGCTTAATTTAGCAAATTTAGTATAATAAAGTTAGTTTGCGGAGGTATAGTAAGTAGGTACCTAACCTAAATTAATTTATCTTCTAAATAAAACAAAATTCAGTCCAAATCAAATTGAGTTATAAAGAGGTAATCTAAATATTATTAAATCTAGATTAAATTTTTGGGCCTTGTAATGAGATCGTAGAAACAGTAAAGTATCTAAACTTTTATCACTCTTGACTTACTTGACTTAAGGTCCTATGTCCCCTAGATGGGGCAGAGGGCGTCCACAACAGTCCTCCATCGCGTTCGGTCTTGAGCTTCGCGTTTGATCTCACTCCAAGTCTTGCCGATCTTCTTCGCCTCGTCTGCCACAGTGCGCCGCCAAGTTTGCTTGGGGCGACCACGATTGCGTTTTCCTTGGGGGTTCCAATCAAGAGCCTGCTTGGCGATGTGATCGCGATCTCTTCGGAGAGTGTGGCCAATCCAGTTTCACTTGCGGCGCTTGATCTGCTGGTCGATCGGAATTTCGTGGCAGCGTTCCAATAGCTCGACGTTGGAGATTTTCTCAGGCCAGTATATGTCGAGAATTCGGCGAAGGCAGCGGTTGACGAAGACCTGCAGCTGGTGCAAGATGACCTTGGTGACGTTTCACACCCATAGAGCAGAACGGATTTAACGTTGGACCTGAAAATTTTGATCTTGACCCTTCGGGTCAGTTTCCGTGACTGCCATACGGGGCGAAGTTGTGCGAAGGTAGCTCTAGCCTTGGCAATGCGCGAAGTGATGTCCTCTTCGGTACCTCCAGTCTCTGACACGACGCTCCCGAGGTAGGTAAAATTGTGGACACGTTCCACATCCTTTGCACCAATCCGAAATGGTGTGCAATTCCTCACTCCAGATCGCATCTCTTGGGTCTTCCGGCAGTTAATTTTGAGCCCCGTGATGCCCGCCTCTCGATGTAGGTCATCAATTTTGGATTGCATATCGTGATGCGTGTGGCTCAGCAAACAGAGGTCATCAGCATAATCTAAGTCTTCTAAGACTCCGATTATACCCCACTCTATTCCACGCCGTTGGTTTTGATATGCACGACACATGATTCCACCCAAGACAACCAGAAAGAGAAGCGGCGAAAGTAAGCAGACTTGCCGGACGCCCGCATGCACCTCGATGTCTTCGGAGATGAGGCCGTTGTGAGTGACAGTATATGAATATTTGTTGAAGATGGCCTTCATTAAGTAGATGGATATTTTTCGGCGGGACACCAATGTCAGCGAGTCTCGACCATATGCTTGCTGACTTTAGCGTATCAAAGGCTTTTTCAAAGTCCCTTTGCCATTCTGATGCCTGCTCCAAGATGATACGCAAAGTATTGATCTGGTCGGTGCACGAGCGGTTCGGGCGGAAGCCAGCCTGTTCCCTACGCAAAAGAGGTTCAACGGCCCCCGATAACCTATCCAAGATAATCTTGCAGAAAACCTTTGACGGTATCGAGAGCAAAGTGATACCTTTCCAATTGCTACACTAGCTTAGGTACCCTTTCTTTGGCACAGTAATTAAAAGCCCCTTATTCCAGTCGTCTGGGAGTTCCTCTTCCATCCAGATGTTTTCGATGAGAGATGTCAGGACGTCGGCGGCGGAGTTTACGTCGACTATCACTCAATCAACTCAAAACGAACTCGCGCGCGCGTATTTTGAATTAAACGGCGGCACGGCGCGTAAATTTTTCTATTTATATTTGTTTTTTATTTATTTTACTAAAACCGAAAATACCGAAAATCCCGGTTTTTGTGAAATGAATACCGGTATTAATTAGACCTAAATTTGGCCCGGTATTCCGGTATTTTCGAAATTCGGTATCCCGGTTTGCGACCCCTAGTATGCAATCACATGCATTTCTTGCATTTACAACCAGCAGCCTTATACTTATACTCCTACCGATAATTGTATTTGTAAGTTAGTAATTTTTACATGATTTGTTTAGTTAGTTTCTTTTCACGTATCTAGCTCTTAAAATAACTTGTCAACTCTGAAAGCCTTGACACTGGCAACGGTAAAACGAGTCATTCACTTATTCCAACGAAAATAAGTGATACAAGGTCAGAAATAAAGTTACTGTGTAAGATCGGAAACAGGTCAGAGCAATATAGGAGCCAACTGTGAATGAGCCGATGTGGGTCATGGTCACCGAGATATGAATGACGAATGACGTAGATAGTGGGCACACTGAAAATGGAGCATGTAGCAATTTTATTTGATCAATCACTAGCTTTCTTACACTCCCCGCAGACTTGACTTTTATTCGGCCGATAGTTGGACCCGATTTTAATTTGTATAAAGAATCGGCCGATACCAATGAGCGCACTTTCATACCATGTCCATACTGATTTTCAGCCCGACCCAACTTTCGGCCAACTAAAAGTCAGTGGTCTGCGCCATGTTTTCTTTCGTGTTCGATAAAAGTAACCAAAATAATCACAGCCCATGTGCTATTCAAATTCTAATTTACAAAAGGAATCTTAAATTATTAAAAAAAAGAAAAGAAAAAGAAAGGGTATTTAGTTCAGTATATCATATTATCACCATTATTATTTTTTCTGGGATTATTATTCTTACGCATGAATATTTTGATTATTTTTTCGCTTGGTGTGCGGACGAAGGTGCATCGTGTTAAACGCTTTGACATCATAATTACTTTCTTGTGATGGGAGCTGTTTTGCAATCGGAGTGTGTAGCCTGATGTGCTGTCGACTGTACCTACCTAGTCTTTGTTCATTAAGTAACAGTGTTGTACTCTTCGCCTACCAGTAAGGAAATCGGTGTGTTTTTTTAGTGATAACTGTGTTACTTGTACTGCAACCGGAGTAGTATTGCTGTGTTATAGCAGTGCCTCTTGCCCTCCGAGTATCCACGGAAGACCAGCGTCGTGGTGTCCCTTACGACACCTCGACATGATGCTGAGTGGATACCGTTTCGGTGACACGCACATTACCTACTCTCTTTACTTTTGTTAAATATTTTTGATTTGTGTCGCTGAATAAAATATTTCATTTTCATTTTCATTTATTCTGATCATTTCAAGGAAACGGTTCATTGATATCCGCCCGGTACTCCATTGGGTGGGTTGACTCATTCACATACTGAATTGTTGTATGACTTGAACAGGATCATCATCGGGGATTCGATTCCAGGATTTCTATGGACCTTTTCCTTGTTATGGACCTCTTACAGATTGCAATCGGTTTGGAATCGATACAGACCGATTTTGCCGATGATTCATCACTATAATTTTAGCCAAAGGAAGTTCACTGTTAAACATAGAGGCCACCCCCAATGATTTCCAGCTTGGCCGGTTGGTAACGGCTTTCATTCATTAATTTCAGCTGATGCAAGCGTTATAAGGTCACCAATTCGTTTGTTCGATCCCCGCCGACGCTCGACTATTGTGGTGAGCTCAATCGTGACACAAGCATATTAATTTAGCTTAGTACGAGGGGCTAACGGGACCTTTTTTTGGATAAATTAATAAATAAGGGGACACCTTGTTGGTGGCAAATGCTGACCTGTGTGGTTTGTCGCTTGGATGATGATAGACTATTCCCACCACTGAAACTCCTGTGTAGCCAGGATCTACAGCTTGGCCGCCAATAAAAACCCAACCAGTGAAAGTCAAGTTTGTCCCGAGAGAAAGTTAAACTGTCATTGGACCCGCAACGAAATCAATCAGAAGAACATAGGAGGACTTCGAAGTTAAGGTTCGACTACTCTCCGCTGCAAAGCGGATGACAGGTGACAAACAAAGGTTTAGTAACCTTTATAAAAATATATGCACCATGGACAATAAACATCAATTAAGGGGTGATGATGATGAAGTTATTGTTACCTGTGGAGGGGGCCTGTAGGGCCGTACATTGGGGCGAGGCAGGCGCCCTGCTCGCATACTCGTCATCGTCCAGGAACACTTGCTCGCTCAACTCCAGCATGCTGCAGCCTGATCATGAAGGTGTCTCACCTGTGGAGGGGGGCCTGTAGGGCCGCACATTGGGCACGGTGGTGGGCGAGGCCGGCGCCCTGCTCGCATACTCGTCATCATCTAGGAACACTTGCTCGCTCAACTCCAGCATGCTGCAGCCTGATCATGAAGGTGTCTCACCTGTGGAGGGGGGCCTGTAGGGCCGCACATTGGGCACGGTGGTGGGCGAGGCTGGAGCCCTGCTCGCATACTCGTCATCATCTAGGAACACTTGCTCGCTCAACTCCAGCATGCTGCAGCCTGATCATGAAGGTGTCTCACCTGTGGAGGGGGGCCTGTAGGGCCGCACATTGGGCACGGTGGTGGGCGAGGCCGGCGCCCTGCTCGCATACTCGTCATCATCTAGGAACACTTGCTCGCTCAACTCCAGCATGCTGCATAGGGGTCGCAAACCGGGATACCGAATTT